CCCCAAAACCCCAAAACCCCAAAACCCCAAAACCCCGCAGTTCAGCTAATCTAGGGAAAAGTGAAATTATAAGTTGATATAAATTAAATAAAGATCATTTGGACAAATGTAGAGACTTGGGAATGTTTTAAACTCTTCTTCCTAGAGACTCTGTTTTACTGGTTTTGATCTTTTTTTGTTCTAATTCCTAGTAATTTTTAGAGCCAGCAAAGTTTCTTTGAAGCTCATATTTATCGATCTATTGCTACTTAATGGCATCTTTCTCATATTGATCTGGAAAGAATGAGAACACTTGATAGGGCTTTATGACTTTCCTATTTGCCTTTAACACTCCTTCTTTTTTGTTTTATTCGTATTGCTTGGCATTCTTTAAACTATGCAATACCTTCAAAGTTGGTTTATAAAATCTATTAAGAATAGTTCTGCGTTTCTTAATCTCAACAAGTTCTTTGAAATCCCAGGTGAATTCCTTGGTAACATCATAGTCATAGGCAACATTATTTACATCTACGAAGTTATTGGTCAAGACTGCAGTTAAGATTTGATTATCAAAGGCATGCGAGTTTCCATGAATGAATATATAGTTATTAGCTCCATGATAAAAGTCAATTCTATTGCTAAATCTGGTATTAATAGGTTCTGCTTTAAATATATCCATGTTGTTGATCACCTTCGACTCTCCATCAAGAGTTTCCACAATAATTTGCCTTCCATTTGGCTTTAAATACATATTCACGAGAAATGATCTGTTGTAGAAAAAAATGTAGTACTTAGCCCACATCACGTAGTTCATCATGAATGATGGTAAGAAAAAAAGAGGGTTGCATATCACTGAGGCTACAGTGGGGATAAAAATTGGCTGAATAAAAAGTTGATATATGATCGATGTATTGACAACTGAACTTGCGAAGCAACCCAATTTAGCAGTCTTAAAGTAATGCTCCTTCTCATTGATACAAACAACAGGATAGACCTTGCCATATCTAGGATGATCTATGAAGACAAGTTTGGCTGAAGGAGCTACTATGGAGAAGTTTCTTCTAGCTTAGGATTGGAGAAGCGAGAGTACTCCTCTATACTTTGAAGTGTTTAATGCTTGCATATTGAATTTTATAATTAAATTCTATGGTAATTATTTTATCATTATCTCAGCAATTGTTATCAATTTTAAATTCTCATTTGAGGGGTTTTGGGGTTTTGGGGTTTTGGGGTTTTGGGG